TATGCATTTCTATCTCAAGGATGTAGATCTTACTATGCTGTATTTCCGTGCCGAACAACCTCACCTAGAATCAACGTGACGTTAACAACAAGGGATAACGTAACATGAATTTACTGTACAATTTTATACTTTTTAAGTAGTTTGAAATTAATGTTATACATATTACGTTAGAACTTACAGAGAATCATCAACAGGGATGCATTTTTCGATCCTAAAGTTGGTTTTGTCCTGAAAAATTTAAGTTTCTATAGCCCTAAAAAAGAATTTTTCTGTGAAGCCAATGATGGTGATTTTACGGACAAGATGATGAAATTTCCTATTAACTATTTTCACGATTGCATAAGTGAACCAGTTGTGAAAATGGAAGGACAGAAGAAAGTTTTTGTAGGCTCTACATTGACCCTTACGTGTACAGTTAAAATCTACGTAGAAAGTTCTAACATTGTTACCTGGAAGACTCCTCAAAATTTAGTAAGAGAATTTTTATTTTCTTATGCACAATTCCTATTGTTGTGTATGGGTCATTTAACGAAAACGAGCGTATCTTATAAGTGAAAATGGAGAAAGACTAAAAAGCAGTATTTTTCGAATATTTTTTTCGTTATGCTGGTTTTCGAAATAAATCATCAATGTTTGAGCCCTGCTAAATAAAAGTTTTTTAATATCAATATTACGAGTGGGGTTAGGTGCAACAAAAACTCCGGTGTGAAATATTAATATTGCTTTTACTTTTATACTCATATTAAGTACGTAAGAGATACAGTTTTATCAATCGCCATCAAAGTTGATAGTTCGTTATGGAATTTTAGTTTGTATTTTGGAGAGACTAATTAAACGAGTTAGGAAGTGCGTAGAATTGATCCGTAGTCAAAGAAAAGATTGAAAAAATCTAGATGCAATACATTTCGTCTCCACATAATTAAATATGTTTGATTTTTAATGCGAAATACAATTGTGTGCATCTACCATGGTATTTTTCTTACATGAAATTTAACAAACTTTAAAAATGACGTAGAAATAATTATTTAAGCTGTATTTTACTTTTAGGTGTCGTCAAAAGTAAACATTTTGGAGGGGGACACAAGACCATACAGCTAATTTTAACTCTTTTTCATTTTAAATAATAATGAATGCTTTTTAGGATAAATTTTTGTTTAGTAGGGAACTTTGCTTTATTATTTGTGAAGTGTTTTGAACAACTAATTTTTTATTGTTGGCGCTTCAATTGATTTGGTCGTGAAAAACCTCGTTTTTGGTAAAATGACTAACATACAGTGACTGATGTAACAAATATTATGCAACACTAGAATATTTTTAAACATTATTTAATGAGTACATGAATAGATTTCCAGATCAACTTTGAAACAGATTCAAGAGACAGAAAACATATACTTTGATTTAATAACATCTAAACTTGTCATAAATAATATAACTTGTAACGACGAGGGTAATTACACTTGTCAAGTGAGATCTTCCTTTAATGAGGATCGTAGTACGAACATATTTATAAAAGTATACGATCAGTTTTTAAAATTATAAAACAACGTTAACGTACAGACACAAACTTGCATTTTAAGACTTGTATATTTTTACAGATCCAAATATCTCTTTCATAAACTTAAAAGCTAGGAATGGAAACAAGACTCATAGAGTTGATGATTTAGTGATATTTACAGCTTTCATTGATGCTTATCCACCGCCAACTCTTACGTGGTAATAATTGTATTTGCATAAAACTATACATTCATGCCAAAAACCTATAATTTATGATGATCCGTAGTATAAAGTATAAAATTTTTCAGGTTCACACCCAAAGGTACTGAGATTGTTTTGGGTAGAAAGTTCAGAATGCCTAATTTCAAAAAACAATATCCGAAGTATCCAGAAAGCAACTTAATGATCCATTTTGTTCAGTTGAAAGACCAGGGAATTTATACTCTTAGAGCAAATAACAGTAATGTAGTAAAGCTTTTGAATTTTTCTCTTACAGTTTACGGTAATTTTGATATAGAACATAATGTCAAATCATTTTATGCGGAAACCCTAAGCCCTTTTCTTTATACAAAACAAAAATTATTGTACATTTGCAGAGAAGCCACATGTTATATTAATCGAAGCAGAACTCAAAACTTTTTACACTCTAAACCAAAGCGCAATATTCGCTTGCCAAGCCACTGGCAATCCTAAGCCAAATATAACGTGGTTCTACAAAATGTGTCCAGATTATAATTCTACGCATAATTGTAAAACAGTGGAGTTGAAGGTATTTTTTGCTTCTATAAACAAGTATAAAATTTTTATTCACATTTATATTTATAAACACAAAATGCAATGGTGATCTAAAAATTATCTAACTATTTAAGGCTGAGCAGAGTAGAAATAGCTTTTATTCAAAATTAAAAGTAAATTTGGCAGCATTTGGCGAAATCATTTGCAAAGCCTGCCATTTATATGCTTGTGACTCGAAAGGACATGGAAGTCAAATTACTGGTGTGTTGATTTGAGCAAATGTTATGTACTATATTTTGTTTTCAGAAAATATTTTCAGTTCGCTATGTTTTGAAACTTTTATCTTTTTCCCCAGACTTAGTCGATGATGCACCTTATGGACTAATCGGGCCAGAAGAGACGTATTATGGTGACAACGTTACTATAACCTGTGCTGCTGTTAAAAGTAAATATTTATATTTAATTTGGTTGGACGACCGCTTTGAAAAAATAAGTAATTCAGGTAAATTCTAAAATTACTTTACATACGAAAATAAAGAAATTTTATAGAATATTTTGTTAAAACTTATAACTAATGCTCTTTAAATTATATTCCAGAAAAAATTCATTTAACATCAAAAGTCACTAATTTTACTGTTCGTAAGGAACTATTAATCTATAACGTAAGTCAATTAGATGAGAAAGACTATTACTGTGACGTAAAGTCTAATTATAGGAGTATCAAAAGAATAAGATACTCCCTTGTTTCTAAACGTAATCAAAAGTTGTTTCTTTTTGTCTGTGTTGTATTACATTGTTTATATACATTAAAATTATGTTTATATTTTTAGTGCCGAGGAAACCTTATTTCATCAAAGACAATATGAATTCTACCAACGTAACTGAATTATCAACAGATGCTCAAAACGTTATTCATTTGTTGTGTTACGTTGGAGGAATGCCATCACCGAATCTTACATGGTACAAGGATGATGAACCTTTGGATCTCCCGGAAGATCGATTCAGCCTGTTATCTAATAGTCAAAAATTAATATTAAGATATCTGGTAAAAGATGATAGTGGCAATTATTCTTGTCGTGCTGAAAATCGATTTGGAAAAACAGAAAAATTTCAAATAGTTAATGTTACAGGTAAAAAAAAAAGTACATGTGTTTGTTAATTTTGTAAATAAGGCTAAACAATTCCCTTATGCTAAATGATTGTGTCATGAATGTGATGGATAAAAGTTAGTTGTTAATATTTATCTATGTCGCTTCACACATTAGTTCAGATAATCTAGTTTGGGACTAATAAGTATAAAATCTGCTTGGACCTTTATGCAAGGAGATTAAAGTTTTAAGAATATTGAAAAATACGGTAACATGCAAATAAGCGCAAGGCATGTTTATTTGATAATTGAAATTGTGAGGTTTAATTGGATGTTTTGACAGTTTAATAATATTAAATAAAACCAATTTTGGATCTTTATCAAAATCCCTTATAACTGTAGCTGATATATCTTTTTCATTTATCTCTCGCAATATTCTCTGATCATTATTCTTTAACTATTAAAACCTATTGATGTTATCGTAGCTTATAAATAATTTTTTAATAGTTTTTAACCTTGAAAACAATTTTTTTTTATATCTGTTTTTAATACCCCAAAGACTTTTTTGGATTATCTCTGTATTAGAAAAAAATTCTTAAAAGCCTTATTTGATGAATGAGAAATACGTTGATTGCTCTTTGCTAATCTTATAATTATTGAGGCAGTTGAGCACCTCCAATAGCTTTTATTCTATTTAGTGGAGCAGAAAAGCATTAAAATTTAGCAAATGGACTTTGTGGACATTTCAGTAACCTAAAGATCTCAACATCACAAAACCGAAAAAAAA